ATACCGGCCAACAGCCGCAACTAATGTCTTCATCCTTTTCAACCACCTTTTCAAACCCCTTACGCCTCTCTTTCCGTGCCTTTTCTTTTCCCAACGAAAGCAACGAGTAGCGGGTGAAATTCACGCCGGCTTTAAATCGTGCTTTGCGCCGCGAGCGTTCACGCGAGCAAAGGGTTGAAACTCGCCATGAATCAAGACACCCCGGGGGGTCGTTGCTTCCTCGGCTAGGGCTGCCCTCCTTCCTTCGTGTAATTCCGACATTTAACCGTTGTGACCGGGTCCACTGTTGGACGTGCTTTTAATTATTCGGGATAAAGATGATAAATTCTTGGGAATTTTCTTTCGATTATGGGGAGGGGGGAGAGAAGAGGAGAGATGACAGTAATGTGTAGAAATATGTCGGAAAATTGTAAGGAATTTGGACGAAATAATTTGGAAAATTTGAAAAATTTTCATTTGTTTGAGAAAAGTTGTGTTTCGAAGAAGAATTAAAAAAGAAAAGGAGAAAGGAATTTTTTTAATTCTCGGAAAATTAAAATATCCGAATAATTGGTTAAGATTTTGGATAATTTGGATTTCTTTTGAATCTTTTTGAATGGGTAAAGATTCAAGAAATATTTTGAATTGCTCTAGAAAAAGCAAAAGTTTTCCAAAATTTCTTCTAAATATAAATATTATTTTTCAAATTTCATTTTCGTTTTAAGAAATATTTTCGTCAAGAATACTTTCTCTTTCAGGACAGATAATAACCAGATTTTATTTTATTTTCAGGTATGGTTCCAAAACAGAAGGGCAAAATGGAGGAAGAAGGAGCACACGAAGAAGGGTCCAGGAAGGCCGGCGCACAACGCTCATCCTCAAAGCTGTAGTGGCGAACCAATTCCACCTGAAGAGTTGAGAAGGAAGGAGAGGGAAAGGCGGCAGAAGAAATTGCTGAAAGCTCTTGAACGACAGCAGAGGAAATTAGCTGCAAAGGTAATCACTAATGCAATCTACTTTCTCAAATACATTTAAGAATACTTTAATGCTTCGATAGCGTGTTAAAAAAATAATTGATTATAATTTCATCGTATGTAATTTAATATCTAAATGTAATTTCTTTCCGACTTTTATTTGTCGTTTCAATCTTCAAAGAATTTTCAGAAAAGTATAAAGGAAAAAAAAAAACAATAACATAAATCATCTTCCTTACCTCAATTCTACACTTTCTCCCAATTAAAATAATCTCATAACTATAGTTATCAAATATCATTTCACACTTTCGAATATTTTTAAAAAAAGAAAAAAACGAATAATCAAAATACTTCGTAACGAAGTGAACCATTCATTCTCTCTCTAAATAAAATCTCTAATCCATCTCTAAGCTGTGCAATTTCCATATAAATCTTCATATCGAAACGACCCCAAAACTGGAACCCCAGAAGAGAAGAACGAAATATTCTCGTTCCAGGGAATCACCGTCGACCTCTCGACCCTTCGAGCGGAATGGGAGTCCCGAAGCGCGGCAGCATCCGGCGGAAACTCCCTGAACGGAAGCCTGGGAAGCTCTTTCAACCACTTGAGCAACAACAACGAGAGCAGCAGTGTGTCTGGCTCTGGCAACGACGCGAACGAGGAGATAGACGTTGTCGGGGGTTTGGATTCTTGCAGCGAGAGCGGCAGCGAGAGGGTCGACTCCACCGCCGATGGTTCCATCGATGGAGAGTGTTACTCGAGACTGGGGAGCAGTGGCAACGATCAGAACGATCCTCGAAGATCGGTGAACCAGGTCGCGGGAAGTCTTCAGAGTCCAAACTCGAGCCTGAGCCTGGACCACTTGAATCACCAGCAAGGGATCCATCATTGGGGCCTGACCTCTCTCCTCGAGAGAAGGAGAGAGTTGGTGAACATCAACAGCGCGGGTGGACCACGTCAAACAACGAACAACCCCGGAAGAACATCGGTCAGGCAACAGACCAGCGAGGAGGAGGTGCAGAGCAGTAGCATAGACCTGTCTGTGAAAGGGAGGGAGGAGAGGAAAAGGCTCAACCCTTTCTCTATCGATAGTTTACTGGGTAATAACAGAACGAGCACCCCCGGTATCCACAACGAATACAGAGCCTCGACGCCCACTCTGTCCAATGGCAGGGAGTCGATCAGCCCGACGTCACCGATCTCGGTTCCAACTTCGCCATCCACCACGTAGTGAGCCAAGAATCCGTGTTTCTTCTATTCGTACAGTGGCCAATGAGTTATGGTGTTGGAACACAACGAAGAGTAAGGGCCAGTTTCGCGAGGACATTTATTAAGAAACATTATCGAGAACAACGAGACGGAAGATAGAGTTTCTCACTGTTTTAGGATAACAATTGTATTATCTGTTCTAAAAAAAAATGGGAACGAGAGTTCCTGATGGATCTGAGAGTGATACAAGGATTGGAACGTGGATTCGTTTTTCGTTTCTCGGTGAAAACGATTGTTGACGATTTCGTTGACGCCGATCGATGAAGTTTGAAGATGTTTGAAGATGTTTGAATTGAGAAACGATGAGTTTCTTTTGCGAGAGAAACGGTGATTCGATCGACGAGAGTTTCCTCTATCGAGACGAGAGGAGAAAGGAAAGCTTATATCAGTTTCGACATATCTGCATCGAGTGCGTGAGTGACGTTGAGACTGCGTGTCACTGCGTGGTTCTGACTTTCTTCTTTTGTCCTGCGTGTTCGAGTGTGGAGATCGAGACGAGAATGTGCAATAAAACACACGGATGAATCGTTCTTTTCTTCCCTCTCTTCTTCAAGTGTTACGTTAGAGGGAGAGAGAAAGAGAGAGAGAGAGAGAGAAAGAGAGAGAGAGAGAGTTATTACGTTAAGTGAGGATGCGTGTGCGAGAGAGCGACAGACTGCGCGTGTATTTAATGTAAATAGCTCGAAAGTATGGACGATTCCGTTTTATTTAAATCTGATTCGTAGCCGATACCCCTCCCAGTGTTCGTCTGATTCGCGGATATTATTTAAAAAAGCAATAGAGATTTTCGCCTGGCACGCGTGTATATATAACAATAGAGATTAAATCGAAAGTTTTAGACATTGCGTGGAGGGATGCCGAAATGAGAAAATAAAGAAGCGGTACAAAGCTGAATTACGGGATATATCTCCTCTTCTTCTTTTTTTATGCGTCGTGCAAGAGTGCATTCTGTGAGAAAGAGAGAAAAAGAGAGAAAAAGAGAGAAAGAGAGAAAGACAGAGATGTTGAAGATCGATAAGAAGAGTGAAGAGGAGAAGAGAGAGAGAAAGAGAGGGAGAGAATGAAAGAAAAAGAAAGAAAGAGAGAGAGAGAGAGAGAGGAGATGTTATGAGATGCCATAAAATTTGGGATGCGAGACAGTATCTACCGTATATTCATTTCAAATATATTAATTTATTCTCAACACTACATAGTATCGTGTGATAAATGTGCACCATCATCCATTCCTTCTCTCCTCTTTTGTGCTACCTTCATCGATTTATATAAGAGGTAAGTTGATTTTTTCTTTTTTTTTAAAAAAAATTGAAAATTGAAAAAGATAAATAATTTTAGAAATTTACGATTCCAGATAATTGATAAAAAATTAATATTTTTTATAAAATTTTTTACTAAAATTTGCATTCCTTCTATTTTCTTTTTAATACGCAATGATTCTACGTATCAAAATATTTTTTTATGGAATAATTCATTTCTGTAAATGTTTTAACACGATACCATTTTATAAAAAAAAATTTTTAAAAAATGCCTTTTAATTATTTTTATATTTCGATCATTCGACAACGGCACAAATATTTTTTATTTTTAATTCGTTACATCGTGTGTTTAAAATTTAATAGAACATTTTTTAATAATCAGTTTTTTTATTCCGCGCGAGGACAGTCCGCACGCGAGGTTTTTTCATAATTCGCGAAAATTATATTTCACGGATTAATTTTTGGAATTTTGATACACGTAGCACGGCAATAATCAACAAACCTTGAGATTCTTCGATATTCGTCGATCAAAACAATGGCAAAGGTTGCGTCGAACCGAGTCGATTCGTTTAGTCTTTCGTTGACCACCGCCGTGTTTACGTCGTATTTCGATGTTCTAATCGTGAAATAAAATTAATTCGCATCCAATTTGAGATCAGAAAATGATTTTTACTAACAATTACCGACATTGATTAATTGTTTTTAGTAATAATTAATTCGATTCTTGCGCGGGAGTATAATTATGAGAATTGAGGGGATAATTGACGCGACTTCCACTCGTTTCTTTTCGTTCGAACTCTCGTTATCGTTACGTTGATCTAATCGAAGAGGACATTATTTTTAGAGTTGTTTGTGTTAACGAGCATCGTGTAGATGTTTCATTATTATTAATAATGATTAATTAATAGTAATTAATTGAGGAACACGTGGTAAAAGAGTGATAGTGATAGAATGATAGTGAGGTTAACAATGGCGTCGGGATTAAAGAGGTCGCTGAAGTGCTAAGACTATAGAAGGATTGTAAGTAATGTTTTTAAAAATTTTGCGCAATATTTGTAGTAGTAGATTTATATTTGCGAATAATTTAATATTATATATAAAAATATTTAGAAATTTTTTGTTTTTTGTTCGGAAGATTTTTAAATATTATCGTTTGATATGTAAATTGATTAATTTTTTGGTTAATTTTAATGGAAGATCGAAATTATAATAAAGAATTTTAATCAATTTTCATATTAAAATTAAAAATGTTATTTTTTTTATACGATTATTTGTATATTATATAAACGAGAATGAATATATGTAGGCAAACAATTAGTCATACAATTTTTATTACATATTTGGAACGGAAAATCTGGAACTTTTATATTTGATTCATCAAGTTTGATTTATGATGCATTCAATTTATTTCATGATTTATCTTCAAAATTAATATATTATTTATCATTATTTGTTATTATAAAAACTTTGAAAATGAAGATTTATAATGTTTGTAGTTAAAATTGGAATAATTTATTACTTTCAATAAAATATTTTAAAAACTTCATTTAATTTAAATCGATTTTGTTATTGTTTTTCAAAAGGAATTACAAGTATCGTAATTTGTAAATTTACGACTTGTATTAAATTTTTTATTAATAAAACACGTTACATTAATTCTACAGAATTATTCAGTTCTAAAGAAATTACTGAAATCAGGAATTAAATGAGGTAAGAAATTTTGAATATACACTTACCGTGTATTATATCATATAATGCATCATAAATCTGTCTTGAATATGCATTCGAAATTAAAATAAAATTTTCATAAAAATAAGGAAAATTTGCAAGATTAACACGTTTCGTTAAACTTGATCAACAAGAATTGATAAAAACGGGAAAATATCACGATATTTATAACCAACCAACGTATTAATAAAATTTACTACATTCCCGAATTTATTATACTCGCTCGTTGTTTATCACATCGCGAATACGTTGCCATAACACGGGATATCACATATGTAGGATTATATTTAATTACGTTTAAAGATTCATCAACGTGAATGCAAGATAACTGCGATTGTTTATTAAACGAAACGGCAGAAATTAATTGGAATGAAACCGAATGAATCCTGATAACTTAATTAGCATAACTTTAACCGACCGGTTAGCGTATACGAATTGCGCAATTTTCGTTATTTCGACCGAAAGAGAGGGAAGAGTAACGAAAATTGTGAAAGTCGAATA